GGCGGAGCTTGCAGTGAGCTGAGATCCGGCCACTGCACTCCAGCCTGGGCGACAGAGCCAGACTCCATCTCAAAAAAAAAAAAAAAAAAAAAAAGAATGCCAATATGTGATTCTGCACATTCCTACAATTGCCAAAGGGATCCCCACCTGCTACCACAGTTCATTTACTATTTTCCCAGACAGAGAAACCAGGTTAATATAAGAAAGTTGCATGACAACTACATTACCATAGAAAAGGAAATCAATAGGTTTTAGAACTAGTTCAAAAGGGCCTTTGGCTTTGTGTCCCCATAATTTCAAAACACATGTCTTATACATAGTAGATACTCAATAAATGTTTAGCAAATATAATTAATAAGCTCATGAGTCCTCTTTTATCTTGCTAAGAACTAAAATTGTCAAATGGACTGTTTTCATGTTTTCCACTTTGGGGTCATCCCATCCCTTGGACAGCATTGAACAAACAATGATAAATGTTCCCTTTTCCACATTCCCATAATTCCTTCCAAAGACATCTAATCATACTGTCCTGTCGTGAATTTGTTTTTCCAATAGCAGATCAAAGCCATTTTGTCAGTTCCTCATACAGCAATACTCAAATACATCTCCAGAAGTAGACAACTGGTAAGATTATCTTGGTGAATTTATTAAAGTCCAGAGTCTTGCAGGCTCAACACTATTTTTTTTTTCTTTCTTTCTTTTTTTTTTTTTTTAGAGCCTTGCTTGGTTGCCCAGGCTGGAGTGCAGTGGCAAGCTCAGCTCACTGCAACTTCTGCCTCCTGGGTTCAAGCAATTATTGTGCCTTAGCCTCCTGAGTACCTGGGATTACAGGTGTACGCCACCATGCCAAGCCAATTTTTTTTTTCTTTTTGGTGGAGGCAGGGTTTCACCATGTTGGCTAGGCTTGTCTCAAACCCCTGGCCTTAAGCAATCCACCATCCTCAGCCTCCCAAAGTGCTGAGATTACAGGTGTGAGTCATTGCACATGGCCAGGCTCAACATTTTCATTGATCAGTACACTCAGATTAGGTCAAATTCTCAGGAGGTAGGTTCACAATGACCAAGCTCCTAAAGCTGTTATGTAAACCAAAATGCCAGCTGATTAATTTATGAGAACAGTACCAAGAGACTGAACAGTCGTATCCTCCAGTCAATTCATTTAAGTTGCGAAATAACTTGGGGGGAAATAGGAAGAAAATAGACAGGTATTCCTGAGACATTTTGGAGTGCCACAGAGCCTCTATATGTAAAAATTGGACATTTTGTAACTAGCACGGAGTTCTGGGTGTGGTAAGACACAGGGAATTAGAGGGAGAAGAACAAGCTAACTGGCTATGATGAGGAAATGAATACATCACAGTGACCACATATAACTTCATCAACACACATACGCTTATGTTCCATTCTCAATGGTGTACATGAAACAAGGTCAAAATTTAGGAGGAAAAGAAGCAAATATGAAGCAAGCTCCTTGTTATTGAGAGTTTGGAGTTCTATTTCTAGGTGTCCAGGAAAAAAAAAAATGTTTGGTGTCTTGTTCAATTGGAAATTCAGGAAATGACAGATAAAACAACCACCAAGGGGCTGGGTGTGGTGGCTCACGCCTGTAATCCCAGCACTTTGGGAGGCTGAGGCGGGCGGATCACAAGGTCAGGAGATCAAGACCATCCTGTAAATGATGAAATCCCGTCTCTACTAAAAAAAAAAAAAAATACAAAAAATTAGTCAGGCGTGGTGGCGGGCACCTGTAGTCTCAGCTACTAGGGAGGCTGAGGCAGGAGAATGGCGTAAACCCGGGAGGCAGAGCTTGCAGTGAGCCGAGATAGCGCCACTGCACTCTACCCTGTGCGACAGAGCGAGACTCTATCTCAAAACAAAACAAAACAAAACAAACAACAACAACAACAAAAAAACTGCCAAGGGGCCGGGCGTGGTGTCTTATGCCTGTAATCCCAGCACTTTGGGAGAATGAGGTGGGCAGATCACTTGACGTCAAGAGTTCAAGACCAGCCTGGCCAACATGAGACTCTGTCTAAAAAAAAACAACCGCAACAACAAACCACTAAAACCACCAAGACCTATGAAAGGTTCACCAACCTTAGTAAAATAGAAATGAAAAGCATTTGAATATGCTCATCTGCTCAGTGGATTTAAGTGAATTTGAGAGCCCATCTCATAGAGCCCTTCTCAGAGTCTGTCTGGATCCCATACCTTTCCCTTTAAGGTATCAAAGGCTGCCTGAATACCTCAAATGAGCAAATTCTGAAGCTGCCAATGAAGAGAGTCAGTCCTTTTCCATTATTCTCAGCCTTCAGGCTCAAGTCCAGTAAAGATTAGGAAAGATTAGAATCAAGAAAATGGAAGGAATGGAAATTGAAAAGTGACTTTGGCTTGATGCATATACGCTCTAGTATGCAAGCTCTGAATTAGGGACTAAGGCAGGGTGCAGTGGCTCACACAACTGTAATCCCAGCACTTTGGGAGCCCGAGGAGGAAGGATCACTTGAACCCAGGAGTTTAATACCGGCCTGGGCAACATTGTGAGATCCTATCTCTACTAAAAATTTTAAAATTAGCTGAGTGTAGCGGTGCTTGCCTATACCCCCAGCTACTCAGGACGGTGAGGCAGGAGGAACGTTTGGGCCCAGAAGTTCAAGACTACAGCGAGCCGTGACTGCATCACTGCACTTCAGCCTGGATGACACAGTGAGATTCTGTCTCATATAGATACATAATTAAATAAATAATAGACTAATTTGGAAGCTCTATTAATGACTTTGCAAAAAGGTCTAGTCTATTTGACCAACGGTGGCTAAGTGTACTGAGTGCTCGCCATGTGCTAGATGAGGATCTAAACTCTACACACTTCCACTCATTCAATCCTCACAACCCACGGGCCATGTGCTATTATGCTTGTCCTCATTTTTTTTTTTTTTTTTTTCTGAGACAGAGTCTCACTCTGTCGCCCAGGCTGGAGTGCAGTGGCGGGATCTCGGCTTACTGCATATGCTTGTCCTCATTTTAAGATGAGGGCACTGCAGCACAAAAGGAAACTTGCCCAAGATTATGCTGTGTTAGGGCAGGGAATCAAAGCATAATCGTCTTGACTCTAAAGCTGTGCGTATTCTTTTTTTGTAAAAAAAAAAAAAAAAATCATAAATTTACAGAAAAGTCGGAAGCATGAAACAAAGACTTCCCCTGACCTCCATTCATTTGAGAGTAAGTTAGCAACCTGATACCCTGTCTTCCCCAAATATCTTGGGGTGTATTTTCAACAAACAAGGACATTATCCTACAGAACCACAATATAACCATCAAAATTAGAAAAATGGGCCAGGTGCAGTGGCTCACGCCTGTAACCCTAGCACTTTGGGAGGCTGAGGTGGGCAGATCACCTGAGGTCAGGGTTCGAGACAAGCCTGGCCAAAACAGTGAAACCCCATCTCTACTAAAAATACAAAAATTAGCTGGGCATGGTGGCACGTGCCTATAATCCCAGCTACCCAGGAGGCTGAGGCAAGAGAATCTCTTGAACCCGGGAGGTGGAGGCTGCAGTGAGCCAAGATAGCACCACTGCACTCCAGCCTGGGCAACAGAGCGAGACTCCCATCTCAAAAAAATTTTTTTTTCAATGAACATTAATACATTACGTTATCTAATCTGCAGACCCCGTTCAATGTTTGCCAACTGTCCCAAGGATGCCTTTCATAGCAAAAGAATTTTCTTCACAATCATACATTGCATTTAGTTGTCATGTCTCTAGTCTTTGTCAGTCTGAGATGGTTCTTCAGTCTTTTCTTGACTTTCATGATTCTCACACTATAAAGGATTGTTAGCCAGTTATTTGGTAGACAATGTCTCCATTTGGGTTTGATGTTTCTTCACACATAGACTCAGGTTAGCATCTTTGGCAGGAATGTCACAGATGCGAGGTTGCATTCTTCTCATTGTGTCCTATCAGGGGGTGTATATTTCAGTTGTTTTCATTTCTAATGGTGTTACTTGGATCACTAAATGAAGGTTGTGTTGACCAGTTTTCCTGTTGTTTCCCTCTTTGTAATTAGTAAGTGTCTTATGGGGAAGTACTTTGAAACTATGTAAATATCCTGCTACTAATTAAACTCAATTTATTCATTTATTTGGTTCTATCTTATGCAATTAAAGTTTTCTGTTTTATTCAATGGTTTATAACAAGGGTCTCCAACCGCCAGGCCACAGAGAGAAAGAGAAATACATATGTGCGTATATATATGTATATACATATATCTGACATGCAAAGCAGTGCTCTGCCCTTGCTTTTTCCCACACTCAGGCTCTGCTTTCTCTTTCTCTCTCTCTTTTCTGTCCATTTAGTCATCTACTACCCTGCCCTCCAAATACAAAGGCAGCAAGGTGCCCCAGAAAGTTCAATGCTCTGGGAGTCAAGAGCTTGAGTATTTGGGTGCACTCTGCAACTAATTAGTTAGGGTAGTCAGTGGCTCTCTATAGCACTCTGTTTCATCATCTGTAAAATGACTATAATAGGTGGCGGGAACATTGCAGGAATCAAAATAGATAATCTACATAAGAAATGTATGTGTTTGGAAAACTCCTCCATGGTTATTCTTAATCAAAGAGGGCATACATTTCTTGGAAGTGTCATCAACCTATTTCACATCCCACTCCCTGTATTTATATCCTGATGAGCTACTACTCCTTTGTGCTGCAAGCGCCTTCATAAATGATGGATGAAAGAAGGTGGGCAAGACTGAAGGCAGAAAAACTACATAGAAGCCTTAGTATGATCCTCCACTCTTCCTTCTCTCACACTCCACATCTCAATCCAGTAGCTCCCTCTTCAAAATATATCCAGAATACCCAATCCAGAATCACACACACGTGAAAAGTAGAAAAGTATTTGCATGTCCACCAAAAGAGGAATGGTGGATTATATATATTGTGGTGGGGGCAGGTGGGGAGGAGCATGGAAAAACACTGGCATGGAGACTTCAGTTTTAAGTGAGAATGTTTTGCAGTACTTAATATTAAGAAATAAAAACACCTTAGAGTGGGGGGAAAAAAACACTGGATTAGAAACGGCCAAGGCGGGTGGATCACGAGGTCAGGAGATCGAGACCATCCTGGCTAACACAGTGAAACCCTATCTCTACTAAAAATACAAAAAATTAGCCGGGCATGGTGACAGGCGCCTGTAGTCCCAGCTACTCGGGAGGATGAGGCAGGAGAATGGCGTGAGCCCAGAAGGTGGAGCTTGCAGTGAGCCCAGATCGCGCCACTGCACCCCAGCGTGGGCAACATAGCGAGACTCTATCTGGAAAAAAAAAAAAAAAAGAAGAAACGAGTTCTAGTCCTTAAAGAAAGTCACTTAAACTGTTTTGGCTTCCTCGTATGGAAGATGAAAATGGTAATATAATTGACTTAGTAGGGTTGCTGTAAGTATGAGTTAGTGTGTAAATGTTTACAATTACGCATGGCACACAGCAGCCGCCACCTTTTCTATCAGGGCTGTTCTCACCCAACTGTAAAACAGGAAGGCGTACCCAGCTGGATCCGGGCCCTGGGTTCTCAGGCATTGTGATTGGTCCCAGCATATGACGCAAGGCGGGTTTCATTGATGGAATTGCTGTCAATTAGCGAAGGGCGGAAACCATGCGGAGAGGGCGGTCCTTTAGTGCCACACTTGCGCGACTCGCTCCTTTCTTTTCAGGCTTAGCTACTGCGCATGCGTCTGGCCCTCTTGATGTTCCCGGCGTGCCCCGCAACGGCTTCCGGCATGACGTAGTAGAGAAGATGGCGTGGTAGGCGCGTCGCGCGCCTGAGGGCCTTTTGTGGTGAGGTGGGGCTTACGGGTTGCGGCTCCGCTCTCTGTCCTGAGGCTCTCAGATTGCACTCTGGGTTCCTGGACGCAAAAACTCGGAGTGGCTGCGTGATGCAGCGTGAACTGGGTCCTCTGGGGACGCGTGGGGAACGAGGCAGCCCGGAGTGCCTGCCTTGTTGCCCTTCGGACCTCCAGTCCATTCGGGTTCCCCAGTGAGGCCTCCTTTGAAGGGCTCGGTGGCGCTTGCCCTTCACACTAAGAAAACACTCGTTTCCTAAAGCTCGACTGCGCCCTTGTGCTGAGCGGTGGGGACACGAAGACAGCACAGAAACACTGTTTACCCTCAGCGAGCCCCCGAACTGTTGGAGTGGATAAACCCGCCAGAAACAAATTACAGCGTTAGGCGGGTTAAGATGGAGCACCCTGAGAAACGTTACAGAGAGATCCGGAGAGTTCAGAGGATCAGGATGCTTCAAGAAGATGGGGGTAGTGGTGTCATCAGTCCTCATCCTGGGGTTTTTGTCTTTGATGGTGCACTCCTTGAGGACATGAAATTTTTCTTGGACGTTTCCAATACCTAGGCTCAGGGGCCCTTCCCTGATTGGGAGGGGTAGAGACCAGCTGTCTGTCGTGTTTATTATCTATGGAAAGGATGAATTAGGTCTTGGCGACTTAAGGAGGGAAAATTTTGGTGAGCAAAGGCACTTACATGTCCCTAGACCAGGGGTTCTCAACCAGCGCCCCCCTCCCAGGGCACAATTGATACTGTGTGGAGACAATTTTGTTATCACTACCCAGTGGTGCTACTGACATCTAGTGGGTGGAGACCAGGGATGCAGCTGAATATTCTACAAGGTTCACAGGGTTCCTATCCCACTCCCCACCCCCAAGAACTCAAAAAAACGATCTGGCTCAAAATGTCAGTGTGCTGAGGTTCTGAAAGCCTACCCTAGAATGACAGCGGAAATGGAGAGAGCAGATGTTGGAGACATCTCAGCCGGAGACCATATTGAGTTTTGTCTCTTTTTTTTTTTTTTTTTGAGAGTGTGTCTCGCTCTGTCGCCCAGGCTGGAGTGCAGTGGCGCGCAATCTCGGCTCACGGCAAGCTCCGCCTCCCGGGTTCACGCCATTCTCCCGTCTCAGCCCCCGGAGTAACTGGGACTACAGGTGCCCGCCACCATGCCCGGCTAATTTTTGTATTTTTAGTAGAGACGGTGTTTCACCGTGTTAGCCAGAATGGTCTCGATCTTCTTACCTCGTGATCGGCCCGCCTCGGCCTCCCAAAGTGCTGAGATTACAGGCGTAGGCCTCCGCGCCCGGCCTCATTTTGTGTTCTTTATAATGCTTAAGTATTTGATGCGCAGTTGGTTAATCAGGTGTGATGAGCCCAGTCTTCCTTTTATTTTTTCACCTATTCATTCATTTGCCAGATACCTATTTAGCACTAAACACTATTCAGGATGCTAGGATTCCGCATTGAGCTGAAAAACCTTACGCATTCTTGGGCAGGGGACTTGACAGACATTAAAACTTATATGTCAAGTAGTAATATATGCTATGAAGTTCCTGCAAGATGGAGTTTCTCTTCCTACCACCACATACCATTTATTTACTTCCTTCTGAGTGCCAAGCACTGGCCTGGATACTTTACTGATATCTCTACTCTTTTCCTGTATCCTGCAAGATGGATATTATTTATTTATTATTTATTTTTTTGAGAGGGAGTCTTGCTCTGTCCCCCAGGCTGAACTGCAGTAATGCAATCTCGGCTCACTGCAACCTCGGCTTCCGGGGTTCAAGCGATTCTCCTGCCTCATTCTCCCTGTGATTACAGGCACCCGCCACCACGCCCTGCTAATCTTTTTTGTATTTTTAGTAGAGACGGGAGTTTCACCATGTTGGCCAGGCTGGAGGCTGATCTCGAACTCCTGACCTCAAGTGATCCTCCTCCCGGGCACCCCCCCCCCCGCCTCGGCCTCCCAAAGTGCTGGGATAACAGGTGTGAGCCACCGCGCCCAGCCCTGCAAGGTGGGTGTTATTATCCTCAGATGATGAAAAGTGGATCATAGGAGTTGAATAATTTGCCCCAAATCACCTAGTAGGGAGTTGAGCTTGGTCTCAAACCAGGTTCACCTGAAGGATAAAGTCTGCTTTATTTCCACTAGTTAACATTGTGTCCCATATGCACAGCTGACTTGAATAGGATGAGAAATATATACCTTCTTTGCTAGAGTTAATAAAGTGAAGTAGAAACAAACTCACACTGACCTCTTTCTGTTTCCAGAGTAGAGTTTTTATCAGAACTAGCAGGAGGTGATTCTTCAGAGTTGCAGCAACTGAATTAGGACAATAATTGTAAGAGTGTCGTCATGGAAAGTGAGCAGTTCTTCTTGAAGGCCTAACTGAACTGGGTGAGCCATTAAGACATACAGGGTTTATCCTATATCTTAACTTTCGCAAAGTTATGTGATGATTTTACTAATATCGAGAAAGTCATACAGGTTATGGGATTTACTTGAAATCAGTTTCTGGAGGTTCGATTCCTTTTTCGTCTAGGTTGTCACGTCGATTGGCTCTTCGAATGTATGGTAAGGTGGTGGACAGCCGTAAAGTCACTCTAAATTAGTAGATGCTTGTTCAATTGTTAGAACTTCTCGTTTTGAAGCAAAGGCTTCTCAGATTATGAAAATTGTTAGTATGACTGCTGTTAATGATATCGATGAGCCTACTGATTAGATAACATTTAATGTGGTGTACGCATTGGGTTAATTGGAGTAATGTTGAGGCACACTGATAGGCTGAGGAAGTGCTGTGGGAAAAAGGTTAAATTAACGCCTATAAATATAATGATGAAGTGGATTTTAGCGTAGGTCTGATTAGGTATATAACCTGAAAATAGGGGGAATCAGTGGACAACGCCTCCTGTGATGGCAAATACTGCTCCTGTTGATAGAACATAGTGGGAATGGGCTACAACATAATATATATCTTGTAAAATAATGTCTAATGATGAATTAGCTAGTATAATGCCAGTTAAACCTCTTACTGTTAACAGGAAAATGAATCCTAGGGGCTCAGAATATTGTGGGAGATCATTTGATATTACTACCATGCAGTGTAGCTAATCAGCTAAAGACCTTGAGTCCAGTAGGGATAGCAATAATTATAGTAACGGAGGTGAAGTATGCTCGTGTGTCTACGTCCATTCCTACATAGGAATGTAAATATATGGTGAGGCCATACGATAAATCCTAAGAAGCCAATTGATATTATGGCTCATGCTATGCCCATATACCCAAATGGTTCCTTTTTTCCAGAGTAATATGTTACGATTATGACAGATTATCCCGAAGCCTGGAAGGATAAGGATATAGACTTCAGGATGACCAAAGAATCAGAATAAATGTTGATAAAAGATAGGGTCGCCCCTGCCAGCAGGGTCAAAAAAAGTAGTATTGAGGTTACGATCAGTTAATAGTATGGTAATGCTGGCGGCTAGGACTGGGAGAGAAAGGAGGAGAAGGACTGCCATAATGAGGACTGATCAGATGAAAAGGGGTGTTTGATATTGGGACAAGGCTGGGGGTTTTATGTTAGTAACTGTCATAAAGTTAATGGCCGCTAAAATAGAAAAACACCTGCCAAGTGGAGTGAGAAGATGGTTAGATCCATAGAGGCTCCTGCTAGGTTTCCTGCTAAAAAAACTGTCCAGCCGGTTCCAGCGCCGGCTTCTACTACTGAAGATGCAAGTAGGAGTAGAGAAGATAGGGGGAGAAGTCCGAAGCTCATATTATTTATCTGGGGGAGTGCCGTATCAGGTGCACCAATCAGAGGGACTAGCCAGTTGCCAAAACCCCCAAATATGACTTGTATGACCATAAAGAAAATTATGACTAATGCGTGGGTGGAAACAGTAACATTGTAAATCTGATCTTCTCCTGGCAGAGTTCCTGGTTGGCCTAATTCTGCTCTAATTAGAAGGCTTAAGGCGGTGCCCACTATTCCTGCTCATGCACCGAATAGTAAATATAGTGTTCTGATGTCTTTGTGGTTAGTTGAAAACAATCAACGATTAATGAACATAAGTGGGAAAAGGGTAAAATGGCTGAGTAAGCATTAGACTGTACTTTTTTTTTTTTTTGAGACGGAGTCTTGCTCTGTCCTCAGGCTGCAGTGCAGTGGCTCAATTTTGGCTCACTGCAACCTCTGCCTCCCAGGTTCAAGCGATTCTCCTGCCTCAGCCTCCTGAGTAGCTGGGACTACGGTCATGTGCCACCACACCCAACTAATTTTTGTATTTTTAATAGAGACGGGGTTTCATCATGTTGACCAGGATGGTCTCGATCTCTTCACCTCGTCATCCACGCACCTTGGCCTCCCAAAGTGCTGGGATTACAGGCATGAGCCACCGTGCCTGGCTGGATTTATCTTTTTAATTAAGATTGGGATAAGAGCTATAATGTTCATTTCTAGGCCGGTTCAGATGAGAAATCAATGTGAGCCTAGCATTGTGATAAGAGTTCCTGTGAAAATAGTAAGGGAAATAATAAGTTGAGCTAATGGGTTAATTAGTACAGGAAGGGTATAACTAACATTTTTGGGGTATGGGCCCGATAGCTTATTTAGCCAACCTTACTTTAGGACTTGGTGTAATGGGTAGCACAGATAATTTTGGATTCTCAGGGGTAGCTTCAATTCCTTAGTTCTAGAAATCAGAGGATTGGACCTTTATTGTTTACTCTATCAAAGTAATTCTTTTGTCAGACATATTTCCTATATTTGGGGTGGGATGCTGGAAATTAGGCATTGAGATACATCATATGCAGAGTGCTGGTGTAAGCGGTAGGACATTTTTTCATAGAAGATATATAAGTTGGTCATAGCGGAATCGGAGGTATGCTGTTCGAGTTCGTAAAAACGGTGGTTAAAGAATGGTCTTGGTAATGAAATTTGTGGTATAGAGTTCTGGTGACTATACAGTGTGTAGTGCTCCTCGAAAAATGGTAGTAGTTATTATGATAATATTCATATATTCTGCTATAAGAAGTGGGCAAATAAACCTGCGGCATATTCGATGTTTAAGCCTGAGACTGACTCTGATTCTCCTTCTATTAGTTCAAAAGGGGCTCTGTTAGTTTCTGCTAGTGTGGAGATAAATTATATTATGGCTAGGGGTTATGATGGTAGAAGCAGTGAGAGGAATTCTTGCATTGTGATGATAAGTGCATGTAAGTTAAATGAGCCACTTATTAGTAGAACTGATAAAAGGACAATGACTAGAGTGACTTCATATGAAATTGTCTGGGCTACAGATTGTAATGTGATGATTAATGCATAATTTGAATTAGATGCTCATCCTGATCATAGGATAGAAGGCTAAGCTTGATGTGGCTAGTATAAATAGGAGGCCTATATTAAAATTAGAGCATCTGGTATGCGGAGGGGAGTTCATAAGAGGAGAGCAATCAGAACGGCTAGGGTTGGAGCAGTAGCATAAAGGGTAATAGACTTTAAGAGACGTAAAGGTTCTTTGGTGAAAAGTTTTATTGCATCGGCGAATGGTTGAAGCAGTCTGTAGGGACCTACAGTGTTAGGACCTACAGTGTTAGGTAATTGTATGTAGCCTAAGATTTTTCATTCAATGGGTATATAAGGAATACTATAGCGATTAAAGTGGTAATAATAAGTAGGAGAAGATTGATTATAGGCATATCATTAAGAAAAGGAGTTGAACCTCTGATTTTAAAGTTTTAAGTTTTATGCAATTGCTGGGTTCTGCCATCTTAAACACTGTTCTTGGGTAGGGTGTGTGATGATTTGTTAGATTGAGACAGCATCATTTATGGGGGCAAGGGTGCTTTGTGGAGTGGGCCCTGTTTCTCTTGTCCTTTTGTACTAAGGAGAAATGTTAAATAGATAGAAACCGACCTGGATTACTCTGATCTGAACTGAGATCACATAGGACTTTAATCACTGAACAAACGAAGCCTTAACAGCAGCTACACCATTAGGATGTCCTGATCCAGCATTGAAGCTGTAAACCCTATTGTTGATACGGACTCTAGAATAGGATTGCATTGTTATCCCTAGGGTAACTTATTCCGTTGATCAAATTATTGGGTCAATGTGTGCTAACTCGCTTAGACTAGTGCGGTCTTAGTTTAGGTTGTTTGGAGGTTGAATTATGCTCCGAGGTCACCGCAAGCACATCTTAAATTTCTTTTATTTTTTATTGTTTATTTATTTTTTTATTTTTTAAGACAGAGTGTGGCTCTGTCGCCAGTCTGGAGTACAGTGGCGCGATCTTGGCTCACTGCTGTCTCTGCCTCCCGAGTTCAAGCCATTCTCCTGCCTTAGCCTCCTGAGTAGCTGGGATTACAGGCGCATACCACTACACCCAGCTAGCTAATTTTTGTATTTTTAGTAGAGACAGGGTTTCAGCATGTTGGCCAGGATGGTCTCCATCTCCTGACCTCGTGATGTGCCCGCCTCAGCCTCCCTAAGTGCTGGGATTACAGGCATGAGCCACTGCGCCCGGCACCCCAACCAAAATTTTTAATGCAGAGATAGTAGGCTAGGGCCCGTAGCCTTTTTTTGAGTTTCTGTTTGCATCAATGAATGAAATCTCCATAGGGTCTTCTCATCTTATTTGTTTATACTGTCTCTTCACGGATAGATCAGTTTCACTGATTGAAAGTAAGAGACAGCTGAACCCTCGTGTGGCCCATTCATACAAGACCCTATTTAGGGAACAAGTGATTATGCTACCTTTGCACTGTCAGGATACCGCAGCTGTTGAACATATGTCACTGGGCAGGCAGTGCCTCTAATACTGGTAATGCTAGAGGTGATGTTTTTGGTAAACAGGTGGGGTAAGATTTCCCGAGTTCCTTATACTTTTTGTAATCTTTCCTTAGAGCATACCTGTGTTGGATTAATAGTATAAATAGGGTATTTATTATTTGTTAATATTAGGCTGTTAACTATCAGTGGATTATTCTGGTTTGATGTAAGCTTATATAATGGAGAATATTTTCATGTTACTTGTATTAACATTATTGCTTCTATTAAGTAATAGATTAGTCTAATATAATGTTAGGAGTTCAATAGAGTGATTAGGAGTTAAAATAATTGATGTTGAGCTTTAAAGCTTTCTTTTTTCCTTCTTTCTTTTTTTTGATATGGAGTTTCGTTTTTGTTGCCCAGGCTGGAGTGCAATGGTGCAATCTTGGCTCACTGCAACCTCTGCCTCCTGGGTTCAAGTGATTCTCCTGCCTCAGCCTCCTGAGTAGCTGGGATCACAGGCATGCACCACCACAGCCAGCTAATTTTGTATTTTTAGTAGAGACAGAGTTTCTCCATGTTGGTCAGGCTGGTCTCAATCTCCCGACCTCAGGTGATCTACCCCCTT